TTTTTCCATTAGTTAGTGCTGTATATGAGAAGATTAAGACTGCTCTCAGTCAGATCTACCATCTCCAATCGAGAAACTGTTCAGAGCTAAAATCGTTGGCGTGTGTGCGTTTTTATTTTCAATATAGCAAAATTCCGTTAATTGAAATGCCTTAGCTTGGCTGTGCGTTTCTATTTGTTCGATTCTGCCTGGGAACCATTTATATCCTATTTATGTACACTATCCGATGCCAAAGCTGAATAAATTCAGAGTCTAATGTATTATTTATAAAAGCGTGGATCATAGTACACTGATACATCTCTGAATCTGAGAAATTACAGTAAGTTTTTTTCAGTTGATGACCTCATTGTCTTGTGTTACGGTTAATGTTCACATTTAGGGATGATGTCGAATTCGATGAGGAACACACAAAAGAAGTGCTACGAAAAATCGAAGTCAATTCAAGTGTTTTGATGGATTCCTCAAAAGCAGGCACAAACTATGAGATGTTTTATTGTGGATTTTCTGAGCCACTTATATTGTAGCTATGTACGAGGAAGAAGCGAGTAAATTCTGGAGTCGGTTTTATGATCAGCACAAAGACATGTTTTTCAAGGACCGAAATTGGCTCGCCATCGAGTTTCCCGAGCTCTTCTATGGTAATTATCACTTCTGTTAAAAGCTCTATTGCTTGATGCTCATGAATTCAAACATTTGAATGATGAATATTCTGAAAGTGTATCAACGGGCAGCCAATCGTTAATGACAAGCAAAATCGATGGATGCGACTTTTCGAGTAGTACGTATGAAGCTCCCGTAAAGCATTAATCACGGGGAACCGTCGATTACCGTCAACCAGCGGTATCTTAGTAAAGAAATGGAGATGGAGGACGTAGGTTTAGCCCCAAAACAACATTTAACATGGTATAACGAGATCTTCAGCACGATTGGGATGGTATATCCGTATCCTTCTTGTCTTTCCAACTGCGCATCACACTTCGTTTACAATGAATTGGCTGTTTGCCAGTTCTGACCAACATGTTCCGGAACTCATTTTGTACCAGTGAAATGCCACTCGATGCCTTCTGATCGTTTGTACTTCAATTATGCCAGCGACTATAATTAACCCAAAGATGGAACAAATCCTATTGTGCACGACGTTGAGCGGTTAAGCGACTCAAATCTTTTTGACTTATTCTAACTGACAAGTTCGTGTCCCATTAATATTAATGTACATATAACCTGTTCGTGTAGGTTGTAAACTTTTGTGCTCTTGCGATACTGAGCCTCCATGTCATATAATTGAATCGCACATGTTGTTTTCCTTTTGTCTATACCACAACTTTGTGTAATATGCATCAAGGCATCAAACATTTCCCTAGTATGTAGATGAAGCATCTGATAAGAAGATTACACCTATCTGATGGTGACAGAATGGAAGAAAAATCACCAAGTAAGTGTGATCACATAGTACAGATGATGGTAGCTAGTTGCAGATGTTTTCTTTTTTTTGCGCGAGCTAGTTGTTTGATCAAAATATAATGTCAAGCGCCTACCGCATAAACTTCATTGCTCATACGCCTTCATATGTTTAATGTCGTATAACTCATCCAATACCAAATTCATGGTGCGCTGCACCTCCGCTTTTTGCTCCTAGTTGCCTATGGGGAATATTTAAGAAGGCAGCGACTTCAATACTCCTTGAAAACTGGTCGTAAAACAGTTATGCGGTAGCACATAAGGATCATCTGCTACTAAAACAATGTTTGTAGCGACCGTGAAGTTGTTCCAGCGAAGAAATCAAGTGACATGCGTTTGGCACTGCAGATGTTCATGTGCCATGGAGATATGGCCTACTTTTATGACCTTCGGGCAACTGGGAGTAAACCGTGGTGAAATACTCAGTGAATCCTAGTCTTTTAGGAGTTATATGCTATTTTTGGCACTTGCGAAATCGGAAACAAGCCTAAGATCTAAAACAGATTTGTATCATTATTCCTTTAAAACATTTTATGCTGTCGATTTTTATCAGTTAATTGCTCTTCAGTATTTGCCTTTGTCTTTTCCTTTTGGCTTTTCATGATTTTTATCGTTAACTTTAGGTGCGGAGTCAGCAATCGAGACAACCACTGTTCTAGAGGTAAAAATTTGTACGTTGCTTTGCAATCATTTAAATTAATGATTAAACGAAACGAAGTGAGCCTTGGTTTTGAGGCAAGATTTCGTATATCCATTTATACATTGCGTTTTTTTTGTTCTTTGATTGCCTCACTACATGTACAGCAAACTAAGCTGCATGTTAAACGTTACGTCATGCAGTTAATCTACCTGGATGTTGAAATTCTGACTTTATTAAAAGAATGGCTGCAGTCTTTTAAAAAGCAATTATTCTGAATCCTTCTCTCGGCTGAAGAATGAATTAACTTTCATTTGTCCTGCTTATGGGCCTATGGAATTCTTTCAAGGATTTATAATGTGACTCGAGACATGCTGCATATGCATTCAGGAACACAATCTATTAACCAGGTTGTCGCTAAGATGGCACCCATGTTTTTGTGATTTTGGTTGGATTAGCTCCAAAACAGAAGTTTATAGCCACTGTGTAAGTGAAAATGAGACTACGATTTTGATAGAAAGTTTTCGATATGCAGTAGCATCCTTTAAGCTTAGAAATATAATTAAAATTCAGAAATTGACGTAGACTCAGGTGGGCAGCTTTCTTCTTATCGTAGTATGATCCACAACTCCTTTGATTGTTTCGGTACACTAAATCGGATTTTCGATTTGTATCACGTGCGTTCTTCAAAATAGAACTGGATGTTGTTCTGACTGGAATATCTTGATCTCACTGTACTGTTCGGACTGAATCGTGTTCGAATTAGACATGCGTATGACAGCTACTCTCTCCGTAAGCGAATCATGAAAGAAATGCCCTGTAAATGTGGCTGGATGCCAACAATGGAATCGTTTGCGGACCACTGCTACGTCTACGCCGACTGCAACGACATAAAGGCGATCCATATCACCCAGAGCGCATCAGAGTAGCTATCAGAACAGCAGCTGGAAATATAGGAAGGTTTGCCCACTGCATTGCCGTACGAAAGGAGAACAGCATCTGGTTTTCAAGTATGTTTGAATTCCACGTCTGGCTTCTAACCAGGAGTATGCTGTTTCTCGTAGTTGAAAAGATTGTTTTCAGTTCTTTGAGACCGTCGAAAACGTTTCTCCTCATTCAGCATTCAGCTCAATATGCATTTTGACGTGTGATAAATGTTCGACCT